GGTTGGGAAGGGCACCGCAGGGATCTCCACGGCAGAGGCCATGGCGAGCCGGCAGTGCTGAGATCACGGTGGAGCGGAGGGGAGTGTCCAGTCCCACGCGTGGCGCGCGGGATCCGGGGGAAAGGAGGGGACCGAGGTCCTGATGCAGATCCGGGATGGCCTGCGGCGGCAAGCGCCATCGGTCACTGGGGCGATGCGGTCGCCGATGTCGGCGATGATGCTCGCCATGTTCGCCACCATGGCATCCTTCTACGTCGCTGGCCGGTGAGTCCGCCTGCTCGCTCGACGCATTGAGCGGCTCCTTGAAATGCTCACGTTTGATCCCTCTGCAAGGTTTTTTTCTCTGCGGGTTTACCGTTATGGGGAATTCTGAATCCTTGAATTGCTCTGGCGGAAGAAATGTGTAGTTTGTGTGTCTGGGAAGCTTAAGTGGGTCTTCTAGTGCCACTGCTTAAACTGGGATTATTTCTGTTTTGTTTTATATATCATTTATCCTCCAGATAGAGGGAGGGATATATCTTTTGTTCGTTTCTATGAAGCAACCCATAAGTGATTGGGTTTTGACCTTTTGCTGATCTTCGAGAGGGGAACTTTGTTGACATTGCAAATGTTAGATTGTCTCAGGATGCACAGAATCACGTTTACCTGATAAAAGAGCAGATATCTTTTGTTCGTTTTTATCTAGTATAATCCATAAATTATTGGTTTTTGACCTTTTGCTGACCTTCGAGAGGGAAACTTTGTTGACATTTGCAAATGTTAGATTGTGGCAGGATGCACAGAATCGGGTTTACATGATAAAAGAGCTCGACAGGCGAACCGGCCAGGTATGTTGCGTCAGACCCGACTATCCCTTCCAGCTAACTAGAACAATAGCTGCCTTTGACCTAAGCATACGAGTTCTGTCAAATTCAGGGGCGATCGGCAATATCAGTGGACGATACTTTGAAGGTTGTTTCATGCAGGTAACTGTGACCTAGCATGACCCATTACTATGCAGATGTTGCCTTCTTAATGTACACGCTGACAAATAGTCGAATGCCATGCTACATTGTTCATTATTCTGTTTTTGCAAGTAAACTGGAGCTGGTTCTTCATAGTTGCAGATTTTCTATTGTGATAGTTGGAACTTTGAGCTATAGTAGTAACTCAGTAAGCGCTTTAATGTTTAGGCAGCAAGGCAAGCGGTTGGCATCACTTGAGATGGAGTTGGCTGCAGCAAAGCATGAAGGATTTGTTGGCAAATATACCTCTGAGACAAATGCGACTCATTCTAAGAAGAAGCCTCTGGTTGTTATTGGGATAATGACAAGCTTTGGTAGAAAAAATTACCGTGAAGCTGTCAGGAAATCATGGCTTCCGACAGGTACGACTTCATAGTGCATGTCTTATAAGCCATGGTCATAAATTCATATAATTGGGGGTGCAACCTCCATTTTTTTTTTTTTTCATATAATCATTGTGGTAGTCTATTTTGTACTTTAGAGTTTATCGCCAAGTTATAAAGTGTTTATAGTGATAGTGGCAATGTTCAGAAAATCGTTTACTGGTAACAGCTTGGTCGGTTGGCGAGTAAAGGATTAATAGGCGAATGGGCCGATAAATCAGTTAATCAGCTACTCAGTGACACACCTAGGAAGGATTTATCGGTCTGTTCTGTCCGATATCCTATATACCTAAGAGAGTTATCCCCACTAACTTATTTATCTCAACATGCAATCATGCATGGGAAAAGATCCACCACAACATTCAATCATGCATGGGAAATGACCCACCACAACATTTAACCATGCATGCTTTTTTCCCATTCAGTTTATTCTACTTATATTCAATAAATACTGTTACAACTATACATAATCAAATATAATAAGTCTTATGTATTTTTTAATTTTGGTTCTCATGTTATCAACCCAAATTTTCATCAACCAATTCCCGCAGCAACACGCGGGGTATCTTCTCGTTTTGAACAATGGGTACTGCGTATTAGACAAATTAGGGCTTACCAGTTCCTTGGTTAGTTATCAGATATTTTTGTATCATGTCAAATCATCAGAATGTTGGCAATCTGTTTGCTTGTTGATATGATTGCTACTTAAAGAAACTTGATGCAAGGTAATGCCATACATAATAGCATGATGCATGCTCAAACATTACCTATTTTGATGATCCTATAAACACCGCTTGCTGTAAAATTTTAAGTACACCATATGGAATTCTCAAGTTGTATCTAGAATATAAATTAATAAATTAATAAGTTTCAAGAACCAACCAGCAGAACCAAAAGTCCGAACT